TGGGTAACCAACTTCCATGAGGAGGTTTTCCCGATCACTAGAATCTTAACCTGATCAAGTCTACGCTTAGTCGTTACATTTCTCATATATCCGCATAAACTGTGCCTCTTTCTCTGTAGTCCTCTATCGCCAGTGAGTCTTGGGTTTTGTACAATGTAAAAAAAATTGAGAACCTACTGCTAGGGATATGACTGCATGAATTTAAATGTGCTACTAGGTTGTCATCTCAGACACACCCTTTCACTGTTGAAACTGTTAAATGTAGCCGTCACTTCTGCTCCAACAGCTTCTTCCCTCACACTTCCCACCAGTGGAAACCCCTTCCTCTTAGTTGCTTCCCTGGTAGCTAGAATCTCCAACTATTCAAATGCAATGGCAATCGATATTCTTAGATGCCTTGATCTAATTCCCCGTTCTTATCGTCATCCTTTCCTCTATCACGCCTCTTTACTCTTGCTTCCACTCTCTGTAACCCCTTGCATCCTAGTGTTATACTCGTCTTGGTTGGGGTGAAATGCTTAAAAACAAACAAAACAAAAAAAACGTATTTTTATTTTGAAAAAAAAAACGCTTTAAAAATTGAATTTATATCCTATTTGGCGTTAAACTAGCTGACTCTTCTTAAAATTATTTACATTATTCCGACTATATGAATTTCTGGAGAAGGCCGGAGCGTACAACGGCCGAAACGTTGTAATAAATATGGCGACAAAAATGAGAAAAATAGTCCGAATAATGTAAATAATGTACATAATACCTCATCTCAGAAATATAGACAGATTCTTCTGAAAATAGTTGCAAAAATATAATTTACATGTATTTTATGTATCGGAAATTACATCTGAAAAATGACCGACTGTATATGTAAAACACAAATAATTAAGGTATTTCTTACACATTCTGCTTGAGGATTTGGGTCCATGTATCGCAATTTCATTTTTTCACCTTTCCAATCTTGGGGCAACTAATTCAGAGCAGTCAATCATGTGCCATGCTTGATACACGCTTAGGCGATCATGTATCTTTCGATACATGACTGACGAGGCAGATTTTCCCGCAGTAGATTGTCATTGCTTTCTGCGGTAGAAGTTTTTTTCTTGCTTTGGATGGCAACTAATAGACTAGTTGAGGATTCATACCTTTCCCAAGTGTATTAGCACATACGTGAATGTAATGGATTCGACTGGAATTCGAACTCAGCTCACAGATTCCTCAATCTGAGCCACTATCCATTACTCCACCGTGCCTCTTTCTCGTTCAGGCAATTAGAGCTAAAATCTGTCAGGGGCGAATCAGCCTTACTCAGTTGCTATAATATCCTAGTATATGCCGGGGAAGTTTAAAAAAATTATTAAATACCCGAATCACACCCACCCTCGGTAGCAACCCTCCTTCGGGACGGGGTTAGCTTTATTGCCTGGTGCTTGAGGCGCCCCCAAAAGTGAAAGAACCGAGGGGTCTTGGTCAATTTTTCTACGGTGTTGCCGTTAAACCCACTTTAATCATCTTGTGTCACATTTACTAACGATAAGGGAGCTTCAAAAATACCCCTTCGGATTCGATTGGAAAGAACTAAGTTCCACTGAGACAGTTTCTTCCTGAAACCCGCCACTTTATATAATATACTCGAGAGAGGATGATTACATAACAAATGCAATCTTAACCTTTTCATCTACTGTCAACTGCTGTCTATCATACATATCTTTATATTCTACAATTCTTACGAACATAAAACAACTCTATTCAAAAACTCGCTACCTTGAATGAGGCCTTGTATTGGGTGAACAATAGCGAAAAAAATACGTGTTAAAGTCAAAACCGTTGACCCAGAACCCAGAGTAGCGTTAACAATGATCTACGCATTTTATTACACATTGTGATGTCGTAATGGCATCTGATACTGAAAAATATCCAGGTATAAGATTACACAGGAAAGTGCTTTTAGGAGACCATTTTCTGATGATTAACACAACTTGCTCGTGTTGGAAAAGAATTTCAACGAATTTCTTTTTTATGAAACTGGCATTTGATTAACGTTACCTTTGTCCAGATAAATGTCCCTTGATAACACATATACACAAAAGTCTAAATACAACACACAAACACACAAATATATATATATATATATATATATATATATATATATATATATATATATATATATATATATATATATAGATGGATTGGTGGAAAATATACATACATATGAAAAATATATCTAAAAATTCCTATACATGTATATTTTCAGAAAAAAATTTTTCCAAGAGGTAGAACTCAATGTCTAAGACTTACACTTTCTCTAAATTCTGTTTTGATTTCCGGGGTTGTTTTTTTCTGTTTTCATTTTGAATTTGTAGGTTTGATGATTTGGATCGTATTTACGATTCCAATGGAATAAATTATGACCATGGAATATTAGTGTTTAAGCCTTTTTTTTTTATATATATATATATATATATATATATATATATATATATATATATATATATATATATATATATAGATAGATAGATAAATATGACGGGTGTAACAACAACATTTTCCAATTGATAGATTATGCTTTGAACCGCTGTATCTTAGAACTGATTAAATATATCTTACGGGAATTCTCCAAGGTTTTTATAACACTATTGAAGTATACATCGAACAATAATAATGTATAATTACTTTCCAAGTTTAACAAAAGAATTGTAATGAAATCGCTCATAAACAATAATGATATATTCATCATTAATTAATCATAGCTTAGAATCGGAAGCTCATGAAAGATTGAAATAAAGTTGAAATATACACATATATATATATATATATATATATATATATATATATATATATATATATTCCAGGGTCATTTTTCCAATTTATTCAAGATGCTCTTCGCCCTCTCTAATCTTCTAACTTTCTGTCCTGGAGTGCTTACAGATTTCACGTACGATTTCATTTTCAAGTCTTTTTCACTGCTCTTTGGCCTTTTAATAGATTTCTTTTGCTCTAAGTTGAAATGATGACGACCGCTTGCTGTCGCAACCACCTGCTCCAGTTTTCCTCTCTACTGTTTCGTCTTTCTTAAACTTATTCACCGTTCTCTTAGTTGTTCTAAAATGAAATTCGAAGACGGAAGCCAGAGTATGAATGCTGAAGGACTGAATGATCTTTTTCTACTCACCATTATTCAGCTGCGAAAAATTTGTGGCTGGCAATAAAAGACATTAACCTGTTCTCCTTCTAGCTGAACAGCCTAAAGGGGTTTTTCAATGATTTTTACGAGAAATGTTATCAAGATGAAACATCTTATTTGAAAATCTGGAAAAAAGAAACTGAATTACTTTTTTTTTTTTTTTTTTTTTTTGATATTTAACATTTTGTGAGATGGACAATTATGTGTAACATGATTTGGACAAATTTATTTCATCCGGTATATATATATATATATATATATATATATATATATATATATATATATATATATTTGGTTGGATAGATGTGAGTTTGTGACCCTGGGTTTCACGCTTTAGCGATCGTCAGACAAACTGATATATATATATATATATATATATATATATATATATATATTATATATATGATATTTACACACAAACACATGTATACACACATGTCTATAGATTATTATTATTATTATTATTTCCTTTGATTTTTGGCTTTTACACATTTCTTTCCGGGTCCAGCCCAGGGACCTAAGGTTAGAAATAGCATCATGACACTTTCCACTGACAAAACAAAACCAAAACAAATATTATTATTATTATTATTATTATTATTGTTATTATTATTATTGTTGTTTCCTTTGATTTCTGTTGTATACTTATTTCGGGTTCGAACCACTGAGGAATGGCATTATGACATTTTACACTGACCATTTGTACAAAAAATGAAAATAAACCATCCTAAAAAAACACAGATTTTACATAGATATTTTCGTATGTCATGAGCTTTGGTTGTAGAACACTTTGTTGTATTTCCTAAAGGCATGGATTATCAGAGATCCTTTGAACGAGATTATCAGAACCTTTTCCATTGAAGCCCAGGGAAATACCTACTGGAATTATTCATGTCTTCATGTGTTACATCCTTTTAGATTTCCACTTACATAACCCTTACATTCTGACGGGTTTTTTTTTAAAGCTACATTACAGTCTGCAGAAAATGGCATGTCAATAAGAAAGCATATTCTGTTTTTGTGGTCTTTGACCACTATCTCTGGGTGACTATCTGCAATTGTAAAGACCGATAATATTGTTGCACATCCTATAACTGTAATCGAATCTATGTGTGTGCGTAGAAATAGAGATAAAATTCCGTTTTATATGGCAGTTGAGTATTTCCTTCCGCTGCAAGTGGTCAGTATTCGAATCCAGATACCATTATGAAGCTGAATGTTAATTTCCTTGGGCAGATTAGAGCAGCCAAATTGTAAAGCATAATCAGTCTAGCCAACGCCGCCTCCTACTTCAGGGTAGTGGACAAAAAATAATTCCGTATCAGCCTCTCTATCTACATTTGCAAATTTTCAGTAGAGTTGTGGCGTCGACTAAACTGAGCGATTATTGATTATTAATGAAGTGAGTTTACACCTTAAATAAATCAAAATATTGGGGATCATATGATTCTTGAATACAGTGCTTTGTAAGTAACAATGTGTAATCTAAACTCACATAATAAGTGAAACTGATCCTGAATGATTTTTCATGATTTTCCTGTAATATGTTACGCTTAATAAATATATTGAATATGGATAGACATAGACAAAAAGATAGATAGATAGATAGTAAGTGAGTGAATGAGTGATGGAAAGAGAGAGATAATGATCAGTCTCTGAAACATATATGTCCATTGAAAAAATATATATATATAGAGAGAGAGAGAGACAGAGAAAGGCAGAGAGATACTGATCAAGCTAAGATAGATAGAATCTACATACATTGTAGATGAAAATATAGATAAACAAATTGACATAGAGAAAGAAAGTGCGAAATATGCAGTTATAGATAGATAGATAGATAGATAGATAGATAGATAGATAGAACTAAATGGGGAGAGATAATGAGCACTCTATGAAATATATATGTACATTGAGAATGAGATATACTGATCATGCTATGATAGGTGGATAGATAAGAAGTGAGTATATATAGGGATAGATATATAGATAAGAAGTGGAAGATATATGAATGGATAGATACATATATAGATGCATAGTTAAATAAGAACAGACCATTCAAGAACTCCGGCGACCCCTCTGACCCTTCCAACTACCGTCCTATCAGTCTCCTTCCCCTCTTCGGCAAAATCTTCGAAGCTCTAATCAATACCGGGGTGGTTAACCACCTCACATCCAATAATCTGCTCTCAGACAAGCAATATGGTTTCCGCTTTTGCCAGATCTACAGCCGATGTGCTCACAGCCATCACGGAAACAGTCTACCGAACTCTCCAAAATAACGGGGAAGCCCGAGCCGTGGCACTAGATATCTCCAAAGCATTTGATAGGGTTTGGCACGCCGGCCTTCTCCGCAAGATCCAGGGTTATGGCATTACGGGTCAATTATATAACGTAATACAATCATTCCTGTCAAACCGTGAATTGAAGGTCGTTCACAACGGATTCTCCTCCAGTTCCTACCCCACGAACGCAGGAGTTCCTCAAGGCTCCATCCTAGGCCCCACTCTATTCCTTATCTATATAAATGACCTTCCTGACGCCGTAACTTCTCAAGTCGGCATCTACGCGGATGACACCACAATTTATTCCTGCCTCAAAAACAAATCCAGTCTCGCTGACAAAACTCACCTTGCCGTGCGCCTCGAAAAAGGACCTCCAATCGATTGTGAACTGGGGCATGATTTGGCTGGTCAATTTCAACGCTTCGAAGACTAAACTGCTCTCTATTAATCACCACAGAGAGCCTTCCTTCCCTCCATTATAATGTCTGACGCTCAACTTCCCGAGAGCAACTCTCTGCGGCTTCTCGGTCTCACGTTGACTGCTGACCTGAGATGGAATAAATACATAGAGTCAATTGCCTCGTCCACTGCGAGGAAAGTTGGCTCCCTGAGCCGTGCTAGGAAGTTTTTCTCCCTGAGTCGATCCTCCAGATATACAAATCCACAATTCGCCCTTGCATGGAGTACTGCTGCCATATATGGTCTGGCGCCCTTCTGTTTGCCTCTGGGGTTCTTGATAGGCTCCAGAGGCGGATATGTAATATGGTTGGCCCTACCCTGGCGTCTCGTCTACAGTCACTTTCTCACAGACGCACCGTCGCCTCCCTCTGTCTGTTCTACAAATACTTTCATGGAAATTGCTCCGAGGAACTGCATTCGCTGGTTCCCAAATTCATGAGTTCAAGCGCCCTACGAGGCTGGCATCCCGCTCTCACCCCTTCACTGTCGAAACTCATAAATGTAGCCGTCTCTTCTACTCTAATAGCTTCATGTCTCGCACCTCTCGCCTGTGGAACTCTCTTCCCTTCTCCTGTTTCCCTGAGAGTTATAATCTCCAGCTATTCAAGTGTAATGTCAATCGACATCTCCAGTTGCCTTAATCTATCTACTACCCTCATCCTTTCTTCTATCACTCCTATCTGATCTTCCTATTTTCTGTAACCCCTTGCGTCCTAGTGGCTCCCCCGCCTTGCTTGGGGTGAAATGCTTAAAAAATATAAATATATATATATATATATATATATATATATATATATATATATATGTGTGTGTGTGTGTATATATATATATATATATATATATATATATATGTATGTGTGTGTGTGTGTGTGTGTACACATTGTGAGAGAGAGTTCACAAGAAACCGAGATATATATATATATATATATATATAGAGAGAGAGAGAGAGAGAGAGAGAGAGAGATAGATAGATAGTTAGATAGATAGATAGATAAAGATAATGAGCAGTCTATGAAATATATATGTATATTTACGCATAGAGAATGACAGATAGTGACAAACCAGTAGATCGAAGAAGAAAACATATATATATATATATATATATATATATATATATATATATATATATATATATATATATATAGATATATTGGTTTATATCAGTTTATATGTTTTTATATATATATATATATGTGTGTGTGTGTGTGTGTGTGTGTGTGTGTGTGTATAGACTGAGAGATAGAGATAATGAACAGTCTATGGAATAGATATCTATATATACCTTGAGAGACGTAGATAGATATTGATCAACCGATTGATAGATCGGAAGAAACCGATATATATATATATATATATATATATATATATATATATATAGTGATAAAGAGACAGATAGAAATAGTGTAAGAGAGTTATATGCGCAGTCTATGAAATATAAATGTATATGTACATTGAGAGTGTGAGATCAACAGATAGATAGATAGATAGATAGATAGATAAGAACAGACTATAATGGACGAAGAGATGCAAACATCGTAACCATTACAGACAAATAAATTTGCATATACATTCGCAAATATGCATGTACAATGTGCATATGTGACTGTGTTTACCTGATTGTTGTTTACGATTATGCTATTGTGCACCAACTGACTTGATTGCATTATATGCCTGTATGATGAGAACTCTGCCTGCGTCGAGTTGTGTGTATGTCGTGATAGATGTTGTTAATTGTTTTCGAAGGAGGAAACAGGGTGTTGGCATCTTGGGCGGGAGATTTCGTCTGAAGTCTTGCACATCGCAGGAGGACGGCACAAGAAGCATTACACACGCGAACACGAATATTCAACAGATGAAAGTGTTTGGAACAATGTATCTTTGGAAGGTGGATAGTCTGCATAAGAAAGGAACGGGAATTAAAAGTTACCCCCCCACCACCACCACAACTCCTCAGACAAGTCTCATCAGGATTCCCTTTTTTTTTCTCTTTCTTTCCGTCTTTTTTTCTCTCCCTTCGTGTCGATATGAAAATCACTTATGAGGTAAATTCAAATACGATATAAAATACAAGCAAAGAGGGAGGTATCGATCAAGAATTTCAAGCGTCAGGAAAAGACGATGCAATGGAAATGAGATAGAAAAAGACACAGGGGAAGAGAGACTGATTCGAATAAGCGGACGGAAAATACAGACGACGCTGAAAAATATCGATGAAGAAAATGCAATGGCAGAAGCGGGAGATTTAAGGAGCACACAAAGAGATATAGAGATATATAGGACGGAAGAACACATACTACACTTTGATCCTGTATTTACGTGCTTCCTGGTAAGAGAATGTGACGTAATATCGGTTTATATCATTATAGGACAGATTCTGAAAGGATGCTTCACTACAATATTCCCCTCTTCAAGTCGTAGACCAAGATGCTGTTGAAAAAAAACGGGGTGAGGTGTACACCGGACTCTAGACAAACCTATCTACTCCTAAAGAAATAAAATAAGATATAAAAGAGAAAACATGAGCAATTTTAAATAAAAAAAAGAATATAAACAGAGAAAATGAACTAAATCAGTGGAATATTTGTCTTGGAGATCAAAGAACCGATAAATGAAGACAAAGAGACATGGATTTTATGACGTCATGTATGATAGATACAGGTTGTGAGAAGAAACAAAATGAAAGCATCGCAATTATAAATTCGATGGACGCATAAAAATTGTTATTAAAACTCTGGTAGATTGTTCTAGTACCACATGCCGTGTGTAGATCTCTGCATCGACGTAGGAATGTCAGATGGTTTAAAATTTGGTGAGACTTTTTCTAGTTGTATCCATATTTTTGCTATACAATCTAACCCGGTGGACGAAATAATGATTTCGGTACAAAATTCCAATCATCTGTTGAAGGCCGGAGCGTACAACGGCCGAAACGCTGTGAATATATGGCAATGAAGATGAGGATAAAAGTCCATATAATGTAAATAATTCAAGTAATCTTAGTACCTCATCTCAGAGATATAGACAGTTATTTGATCATGACGGAAACTGTTTCTAGTACAGAAGATTATCAACATGTCCGCTAACATATTCACCTATATTTTGCTGTTTTCAGTCATTTCGAGACACATGAAACATTCAATAATCGACATATGTCTATGCATTAAAAAGACATAAGCAGACATCACTGTCAACAACATGTGTGAGTTCCAATGTATTTACAAAGATTACACGACGCCTGATTGTTTGTATTGCTTTAGATTATCCAACCCAATATTTGAAAAGATCCGTCTTCACCCTCCAAATCAATACTTCAATATTTTAAAGTGACTCCCATAGAAACATGGGAAATGTTTTCTAGACACTACACCTTCGAAAGCAAGTCAAATTATATATATATATATATATATATATATATATATATTAAAGACATTTTTATGTTTAACGTTCTTTTTTATAGATACAAGTATTTAAGTAAATGTTCTGTTTATAATAAACAGTATTAAATAACATTTACCGGCCTGAAAATATTCGTCTTTTTTTTTTCTCGGACATTCAGGCCAGTAAATGTTATTTAATACTGTTTATTATAAACAAACATTTACTTAAATACTTGTATCTATAAAAAGAACGTTAAAACATAAAAATGTCTTTAATAAATAAATTGTCGGACTTTGTCCATTTCTTATATATATATATATATATATATATATATATATATATATATATATATATATATATGAATTAATAAATATAGTTTTTAAAATGTGCTATATTTATGGGATAACGTACTCAATATCAGAGATAGAGGGTGTGTAAATATAAATATAAAAATGAACCTTGAAGTCAACACTCAGAGGCGACAGCAGGTGAAATTTGATTATAGAGGTGAAAGTTTCGTGTAGGACCATCCACATCTTTTGAAGGGCCGAATACGGAGACCTGGTGTACTAAGTGCCACAAGGTCCCCAAACGACCCTCCGCGGGTTTTGAATTCAGAGTTCTTCTTCTAGACCATCCAAGGCTATAGAACCCGGTCCTGCTAGTTACCCATAGCTGGAGGGAGAAGAAAAGTATTCACACCTTTACCAAGGGTAATAGCACGGAAGTGAATGTAATCGATTCGAGTGGAATTCCACAATCCAAGCCGATATACATTACTCCACCGTGCCTCCTTTATATTACGAAGAACTTGGTAAACCGAATGGGTAATTCCAAGGAGGATGAAATCCTGAGAGCTCAATGTGAATCCAGAGCAACAACGAAATGAAAGGAAAAAAAACTAGCAGGACCGGGTTCTATAGCCTTGGATGGTCTAGGAGATTTTTTTTTCCTTTCATTTCGTTGTTGGAAGTGTTACCTGATGATCCGGAGTCCTTCAAAAAGGATTTTGGTGAAATAAATTATTGTAATGGTACCTTAAAGTGGTCTGTTTTTTCATTAAATATATATATATATATATATATATGTGTGTGTGTGTGTGTGTGTGTGTGTGTGTTATTGTTATCTCTCATCAATGATATTTACAATAGTTACCCAGAAGTATTGGAAGATACGATTCAAGGCCTTTAACAGTTACCTAAAAGCGCATATAATACCGAACTTTATATGTAATTTTTTTTCATGTTTAGATGCGACGAATTAAAAACCACTAAATACTAAGTGACATATTGAAAGAAAATCAGTAACTACCGACACCGAGGTTCGAACGTGACACTCTGGACTTATGAATATATGTTTTCTGCCAGGTGAATAAAATAGCAATGTCAGGCTACTGACTGTGATAATTATTGAGTGACTATTGAGTAGAACTATCCAGTCGAATTAGTGTGAATTATTGTGCGTCGATGATTTGTGTTTTGATTTAGAATCTACTGGCCTTAAGCCGAGTCGCGCTACTAACAAGGTATTCACGTAAATCGTTGTCTTTGATTGACTATTACTTCTTTGTTCTTGCTATTTATTTGCGGTTGTAATTAAATACTGTTTTATTTTAACATTGAAGTCTTGAGTTATATCTAATCATTTACGGCAATCATACGTTACAAAATTAAGAAAATCTGCTAAGGAAGCTAGCCATCCCCGTTTCACATGCTTGCTCAAACATATCTGAGTTTCTTCAAAGCCTATAAATCCTACCAGTGATTTTTTTTTGTGCAGGCTATTGTTAGAGTTTCTGAGAGAGAGAGAGAGAGAGAGAGAGAGAGAGAGAGAGAGAGAGAGAGAGCACACCGTGAGGCGTGATTAACAGTTTGAACAGAGTCAGTATGCTCTAATTTTTAGGCACGATGACTTATGACTTCATGCTAGCAGAAGGTTGCCTGCACGACTTCAACCTCATGACTTGTGTCTCGCCGTAATATGCTTTTCAGGCTCTTTCCAAAGGTGCCACAAGCTGAGATCACCTCCGATATATAAAAATTAAATATCGTTTTTTCATATACATATATATGACTCATATTATAATTCATAATTTCAATTATTATATTAGTAAATGCTTACAATTTGATGCTGTAACGTAGGATGTCAGTGTTATCTGTCAGCATAAAACAAAACTAAACGGATGTAGAAATAAGATCATGTCTACCAACACACAAAAGCAAAAGGCAGGAATCCGTCTATAGATTAAATAGAAGGGTAGACTGAGTTTTTGAGTCTTGCGTGGCAACTAGTTAAGAACGATGACTGTGGAATTCAAAGAGTGAAGTTAGATGTCTCCCGTCAGGTTCTTTTATGCCAGATACAAAGACTGCTCTTGAGGCTGCAACAAACGTCGTTTATCGACTAAAACAATTGGTTAAGGAACACGTGGCGCCAATTCGGTTTTTTTGTTTTCGTTGGAACCTTGACGTATTACAGTTTTCTGACTATGCTTTCTCTATCTTAGTTCATGAGCTGTACTAAACTAAGTGTAGTAAGCATCTACAATCTGTTAACTTAAAAACTGGTGAAACTGGTGTGACCTCTCCAGGGTAGAAGACTGGCTGATTATAGAAGTAGGCCGTGCGATGCCTAGACTTTCTGCTCCAACTCATGTTTCCCCCGCAGCGACAAGATTCAAATGAATACAGGGCATTATATTAGGGCACGGATTGGTGGCAGGAACTGCTGGAAAATTGTCAGTGGTGACAGACAACCGCCTTCGAGACTTCACTCCAGGTTTTCTGTCTGGATTTATTTCTATAGCCTTTTCCCGTGTTTTGATATGACCGCGTGGTTTAAAGTTGGGGTTTTTCCTTCCCCCTAAATGGACTTCCTTCCTGAGCCGTTGAGCTTCATTTTCCCGACGTAGCTGGTCATTAAGCGTCGGTTGTCCACCTTCGCTGATACTCCGGTTTGTCAGAGGCTATTTGAGACGAATGCTATGAAATATTATATATTTATATTCTCATCTTTAGCTAGATCAACGATACTTACCATATGCATTAAATTCTTTGATAAAATCAGTAAGAATATTCCTGAGAATCGAGTCTCTATGAAAGTTTTTACTCTCCCATTGCATCGCGTTTTTCTCTGATTAGTGGTGCCGCCATCTACCATCTGGGCATTTCTAATCCTAAGTAATAAATTAAAATTTCTCTTATTATATTACTGGAATAGCATAAGACCTGTAATTGAATACACCCGATATTTTAAGTTGCCTCGATATTATTATCTAAACAGAATTTAATGTAATGGACACTGCATATTTATTTCCCATCTTTGTACATGTTCAGTTTCATAATCTTATCAATGAAATGCCTGCAGCCAAATAAAAGGGTAATAATCTTAGTCGAGGATTGGCCTGGCTTTGCCTATGGTTATTCTATCCACAATTTACTGGTCATTTGTAAGGTAGCGTTTAGCGAACTCCATTATAATGTGGACCGTAGGTTTAATTTTCAACTGTGCCATTGTGTTATAGATTCTTTGCCCTTCGGAAGATTCTACACCAACACGCTATCAAAAGGAGTTGGTTAATCAATATCTTTTGCAGATACGCAATATGCAAAATCATTTCAGAATATACGCCTTTAATGTGGAAGGCAAAATGACCACCGGGACTCTTCTAGGACAGCTAAAGGTCTTTAATCTAGACATTAAAAGAATCGGTAACTCTGCCAAACGGATTATCCGGCTTCTTATCAGTGCACAACTGAGGATTAAACCAAATGAAATATTATTTAATTCTTGTCTGAAACTATTCTTTCAGTTTCTGTTATTCTCTTATTAACTCAGAAATTTGATCTTTTTTTTTTATCATTTCCTTGTCTACAGCTTCGGAGGTTATTTAAAGCCAGAAAACTGTAAGAATTGTTTTTTTTTTGTTTTTTGCGGGGGGGGTAATAAACATTTCAATCAGTTATATTCCATGCGTATCACAAGCTTAGACGATCATGTATCTTTCGATACATGACTGACGAGGTAGATTTTTTTTTCCCGCAGCAGATTGCCATTTCTTTCTGCGATAGACCAGTTGCCACCCAAGGCTATAGAACCCGGTCTATCCTGCTATTTATGCATAGTTGGGGCAGATGAAGACGATTCAAATTTTTCCCAAGGGTATTAGCTCGTAAGTGAATGTAATGGATTCGACTCGGCTCTCCGATTCCTCAATCCTATCCGCTACCCATTACTCCACCAGTGATACAATTACTAATTACCCCATAGCTGGGGAGAGAAGAAGTAGATTCATACCTTTCCCAAGGCTATTTTCTTATAAGTGAATATAACAAAGCAGGTGTCAGAAGTAATTTCAACTCAGAACCTCAAAAGGGTCATTTTCAGGTTTAGCCCCGCGCCCAGGTTCTAATAAAAGAAATTCCCAAACAGTTCCATTTAGGTGTAAATGTACATGCTTAATTCGAAAATAACAAAGAAATTTTGATAAAATCTACCATTTTGAAGTTATCGACAGTAAAAGTTCGGACTCATTCGCGGAGGGTGAAGTTTAAATTTATTCTGCATTCTTTTATATTTATACTAACGAAGCCAACGGGAATTGGAACTCGGCTCTGTGATTAAAAATTCCGAGCCGTTATCCATTATTAAGCGTTAAGCATCTGATATCGATCATCTATGTAAGTGCTGACCAGGCTCGACGTTGCTTAACTTTGATGATTGAACTGGAATCGGTGTGTCAACGTGACGTGGCCATAAGCCTGATAATTCTATTCTAACAAAGAATATCGATTTTTAGTTCGGAAGTCTGGTATTATTGAGAAGTGGTCTCCAGGAGAGTTTTTCTGCGAGAGATGTGGTTACTCGAAGATCGGACAATGATATTTAGTGTTTCGTAATGGGAGGCGTCTGTACAATCATGCAAGAGCTGAGTTCGAATTGCAATCGAGTTAGTTGCACTTATTTATGTGCAGATATCCTTGATAAAGGCATGAATCCATTTCCACCCTTTTGATATGACTATCTAAAAAAAAAAATCTCAACAGATAATGCAGCATTCATTCTAAAACGTTTCGACTTTAAAATAACCCCTAAATGGTTGATAAACCGTAAAAAAAACCAATCATGATTAGAAGGTAGGAGATAGAACCTGATACTGTTATGACATACTGAAGGAAAATGAATTAGGAAAAACTGTGATTAAACTATATAACGTGTTTTTATGGTGTTTTATTAAGCGTAGTTTAGATGTGATACAAAGTCGAAAGTATGAAGCACTTAGCGAAAATCGAACTCATTAATCATTTGTAATTCGTCTATCGAGACGAGATTGCTAAAAATTACACAATGTCGAAGTGTCCCGTAAAGAGTGTGTATGCGTGGATAGCTGATCAGGAACAAAAACAAGAAAACATAAAGCGCCATTATTGTTCACATCCATAAATTACGGAAGACACAATCTCTTTTAATATTTTGCAAATCATTTGAATGACTTTGTGTACGCTTCATGTCAGATACTTGAAGCTTTTCTCGGTCTTTACCGCAAAGCAGTATTTTAATCCAAATAAAAATAATTTCTTGGATCGCCGAATTTTGTGGCAAGCACACTACTTCCTATCCAATAACATGAAAGGTTAACATAGCATAAGCAACCGTAAATAAGTATTTTTAGAAGATTTGACTGTGTCAATAAATCATCTGCCAGAACGTGGAAGAAATGGATAAAAAAATAAGCTCTTTTGACATAAGCAACAACACTAAGTATTGCCAATCGACGATAATTCGAACACGCGTCCATAATTCCTTTTCCCTGTTTGATTTACTAAGCATCATGCATTGTGATTTCACACGAGAGGTTTGCTTTGAGAACAGCATTCTTTTGAGAATTTGCAAATTCGTCACCGGGGAAAATGGGATAAACTTTATCAGGTGAATGCAATAGCGATTTTCACCAAGGTATTTTTTCTTTGTTAATATTCTAACGGAAAGCTTGAAATTATTTTGCTTGTTTGCAAATAAGTGTACGGGCTTACCGACACCTATCTACTGTTAAGCAACATCGAACCTGGTCAGAACGCAGATGGGTGAAATATAACAGGTGCTGCACGCTTAAACCTGAGAGTGGTGTAATGGATAATAGCCCGGAAGTTTTAATCGAAGAGCCGTGTTCCAATTCCAGTCATGTTTGTTATATTCACTTACGGGCAAATATCTTTGACACACCTCCCCGGTCTTTTGAAAAGGGGTAGAGGTTTATCCCTTGTTTTCTATTTAGTATTAGGTTTCTGGTTCTTTCTAAAGCCTTCTTCAGTTTTTGCTTACGCTTGTCTTACGCTAATAGAACTCCACAGGGTTGCCTTCTACTATGAAAGGTCCTTGTATTAGGTGAATATTAGTAAAAATTATTTAATTATTTTTTTAAATACAAGCTCTTATCCTCCAGCTAGGGATTATTTAGTGGGATTTGTATCAATCAAAATTATTATCTTAAAATATTCTTACACTCTAAATATATATTTCTGGCTTTAAACAGACGTACAAAAGGTGGATAAATCGGAAAAATCAATCAATCAATTTTTTACTGATTGTTAAGAGAGAAACACTACGTTACAAATGTACATTTGATGTTTGGTCATATCATGAGAATGGAGCCGAACCAAAAATATTCCAAAATCTATCGCGTTATAATATCATTCTAAATGGCTATATTCCTCGTGTCGTTTCTCGAAACGTTTTGCAGCAGTAGTAAGCTGAATTCTTTTTTAAGAGTTCTTCAAGAGAATTAACCTTTGAAACGTTAAACTGAACGTTTTATTTAATTCAGAAAATCGTTTTCATTTTGTTTTGCTTTTTTTTGTGCTGTGGGCAAATGTTTCACTTTTGTTGCCGATCTGTTCTCCTCACTACTGCACTACTTCACAACGAGTTTGAACTCGTGATTTCAAGGGTACAGGAATTCACCGGAGAATGTCGAATAGGAGCGAGAGAAAAGGGATGGTAATTCCAAAGTCGGATATTCGTAGGAAGGAACCCGGAAGTAGCCAGAAAGAAAAAAAAATGGCAATGACGCAAACAAGATGACACGCTAGATTAAATAAAGGTTTGCGTTCAGCATTGCTTGAGGCTTACTGGTTAAGGAATGACTTAAGCTGCCTTAAAAGGGAAAATAAACATTGCTCAAACAAGATTGAAAAGATGGGTGTAAAATCAAATAATAGTGTTTCTTTCTTTTATCTTTTTTACGTTCCTTTCCGAGGTAGGTCTAGTGCATGTCAAACAATTTTGAATAATTCAAGAACTGGTTCCGAGGCCTAGATCTATCTTGGCAATAAAATGCAGAAGTTCCTGTTCTGCATGTTTGAGAAAATACAAACCCGAGTGCTATGACAGTCTTCAGAGAGAGAGCGAGAGAGAGAGAGAGAGAGAGGGAGGGAGGGAGGGGAGAGAGAAACAGGGATAAAGAGAGAGGGGATGTCGAATGAAGCTCAATACAGCGTGGTTGTAGATTTTAAAATATTTGATTTATTTATTTGTTTGGTTTGTATAATTAACGGCCCTTCAACCGCCAGTGGGTTATACAGAGGCAATTTAAAATGTCTGAAGGAACAGTACTGCCATGTATCACATATAGATATATAGATATCATATCTACTGTATCTGTCAGCAACAACACTGAAGTCTTTATTTGTTTTCTGCAACTTCTGGTTTTACCAAAACTTTAAAAAAAAATATGTGAGGAAACAAAGTTGATGAGATTATGATGGCAGTCCCGAAACAGGATTTTGCAAAGTGGAAGGGGCACTGATATAAACAGCTGATGCTTTTGGGACAGTAACCTTAATTATAATATTTGTCATAAATGGCTGTCTATTAATAAATCGTCTAATTAATGATTCTGTCCAATGAACAAGTGTTATTTTAGTCGCCGACTGACCTATTTTATCGTTATTTTCAAATTAGCTTTAATCATTTAGAGTGAAATCTAACGGAAGACTACCTTAATATTTCTGTTGCCAATGAAGTCACATAAGACATACACTAACATGCACACACATATATTCGAGGATACCAGTCTTCTAGTGGGGTAGCTAATCTTTATTGCAGACTCTCGCTCAGGCACATGTTGAAATTCCAATCACCTGATATTGTATTAGGCTAATAATAATTGTGATTATAATAATTTGTCATGGAAATACAAAATAAAATATTAATATTTAAATTGATTATATTAACAGCACATAATTTTTACCATGATCTCCCTTTAAATATATATAGGGGTTATCAATCCTACTGTAATACCTCTTTTGTTAAAAAACTGATGACAATGTACTTCTGTTGCATTTTTAAAATACATCAATAAAAAATTCTTTTTGGAACTTAGTGTAGAAATTTTTCGTCTAATCTATTCCCACATTCAAGGCTTTTGTGTGTGCTATCGTAAATTTTTAGACTGCAAACTTTGTTGAAAGGTAGAGATATTCTTAAATCCTGAATACGGTCAATAATGTATTTCCTTGTTTATAGTTATCAGTGCTAAGCATATATCTACTTTTCAAACTTTATAGACTATTAAAAAAAGCAGTCTAATCCATTAATATTATCACAATGAAATTCCAAGAAATTTGTCAGTAGATCAGTTAAAAATGCACAAAATAATAAAAAATAATTCAGTCAATTTCTACATTCACAAGGTTCAATAAAAGTACAACGTTGTTTGGATACAACAAGAAAATACAATAAAAAAAATCTAGTCTGCCATTTTTAATGAAATAAGTATAGATGTATACACATGCGCGTTGGGAGGAGCGTGAAAACCAATTGGCTCAAGCAGTCTGGATAAAATTGGGTAGAAGAAACAGATTGAGAGTCATTGGTCGTTGTCCGAATACGAAATTACAAGTCCTCGAGGCCGAAGGTTTTAGCTTACTGGCCTTGTTTAACTAATAATCCCGCCTGATTAAACTCGCTATCCTAAGCAAACTTTCGTCAGCTTAGACCACAAGTAGGCCTTCTGGGTGCTGAAGACACAAAGATGTAACTAGAATGCATTGACACTCGAAGTACCGAGCACTCTAGCCGATTTGTATACTCGTAAAACGTGTAAACCACCATTATTATATATAATCGCTTTATTTCGGGAAGTTTATACTTATAAATATAATCATATTTCTTATATATATTTTGATAAGATTTAAAAGAGTTAAACAGCTCATGTAGTGTCTTTTCTCTCTCTCTCTCCCCCCCCCTTTCTCTCTCTCTCTCTCTCTCTCTCTCTATATATATATATATATATATATATATATATATATATATATATAATTATATGGGATTGAATGGGTGTTTCTGGAAGACAATTTTGCTATTTTCATTTGGTAAGGTTTGTGAGATTTAAATTCCTCTAGTATTTTTTGTCTTGTCTGATAATATATATATATATATATATATATATATATATATATATATGTGTGTGTGTGTGTGTGTGTGTGTGTGTGCGTGTGTATTCTAGGATGAAATATTTTAACTGTTAAATAAGAAATTCTTTTGTTGCAGGTATGCATTTACATAATGTTTTTATTTTTCAAAACACGGTCAATATATTGTGTTCATAATTAATAATATTGAGTGATGGTTTTTTTTTTATTAATAAGGATTCCTTTATTTTTAGCCTTGTTTTGCGTGTACATGATGGTATTATATTTGCGTTGTTAACAAGTATGTTACGAATAGATTCCGGTAGGTCTCCATGATTATTTAAATCATGATTCTAATTGAAAATGGCTAAATGTATAGCCGAAAGCACTCGGAAAAAAGAACAATCGGACATTTTTTATATAATTTATCATTTGAAAAGAAAAAACGTATTAGATCACATGAGAAATATCATAAAAGACTAAATTAAAGCACCTTGTCTGTCGTGCTCAATGAAACGTGCATGAAAGAAGGATTGCTGCATAAATACACAAATAATATATATATATATATATATATATATATATATATATATATATATATATGTGTGTGTGTGTGTGTGTGTGATGAATGGAGGTGTTTGCGTTTTTGAAAGACAACATTTTGCCCTTTTTATTCAGACTTAAAACTGAAGTCATCTGAATATTGTTTCTCGCTCTGGAGATTTCGAAAGAAAAACTATATGTCATTAGAATATGTCTAGGGGAATAAGGGATGACACAGAACAGATTATTGTACGAAAACATTAAAATATCGATAAAGTTCTTATCTAAACAGGACTGACCTATCTGAATATTTGAATACAATTTTGCTCCGCGCAATTAAGCAATCCTCTCCCCCAAAATCGAAATAATTGTCAATGCCTATTCGTTTGATGTTAATGAGAGTCATTGCAATAGAAATGTGTTTGTGATAAGCTAATTACTACTATGACTATAAAACGTTACATATGTCTATATCTTGTCCATAATATATATATATATATATATATATATATATATATATATAGATGTGTGTGTGTGTGTGTTAAACAAATAATGGATTTTAATCTGACATTTGTATTATTATAGATCTTATTTTAAATGATACACGAGTTTGAGAAATTTTGAAGAAAAAATAAGCCACCCGCTAGTAAAATTTCATGCTCCTAATCGCACGCACACACACACACACATATATATATATATATATATATATATATATATATATATATATATATATATATATGAAGAAATATACTCATAAGATGTTCTTTATTAGGGGGATAATGTGCTCAATTTCAGAGATAGAGCGTGGGTAAATATAAAAGTGAACATTGAAGTCAAAACTTAGAGGTGACAGGCTCTTTCATGCTAGACGCAATCGCCAGGCCAACGATTGCCTGACGATTGCGTCTAGCATGAAAAAGCCAGCCGCCTCTAATGTTGACTTATATATATATATATATATATATATATATATATATATATATATATATATATATATATATATACTCAGCGTAGAAGTAATGTTTTATTTACAAAAATTAGTAAGAAACATGTTACTGACATTATTGTCCATCGCTAGCCACAGAAAAAAGACACGTCTTTTGAGGCTAACAACGGGCCGACCCACTTTTTAGCATGAAATGTACATCGGAACAAGCAACAATTGGACGGGGTAATATCTGGTGAATACGGCGGGTGTGGTACGGGTTCTCAATTAAGCATTTCCTAGATTTGTCATGTTGTAAAATCACTATGTCGTGTCTCTGCTCGTATAGCGCCGTTTTTTCTTCAATGCTCGGCTCAAACCCATCAATTGTAGTTGATAGCGATCTCCCGCGATGATTTAGTTTGGTTTGAGCAGCTGATAATAAACTACAACCGCCTGATCTCACCAAATGCAGAGCAGAAGCTTTGAACCATGGATATTCGGCTTTGCCGCTGATAATGATGCATGGCCGGGCTTACTCCACGAAATTCTACGTTTAGGATTATTGTAGTGTATCCACATTTCATCGCCGGTCACGATACGATGCAAAACATTTTTCCTTTTCTCTCTTTGAAGCAGCTGTTCCCACGTGACAAGACACCGTTCGATGTCTCTCGGTTTCAACTCGTACGGCACACTATGTCCTTGCTTTTGAATCATTCTTAATGCTTTCCAACGTTTCGAAACTGTTGTGTGATCAACTCCTAATGATGCTGGAAATTCAGCTTGTGCCTGACATGAGTCTTCATGAAGTAATGCCTCTAATTCTTCGTCTACAAACTTTTTCGGTGCGCCAGTGCGTTCTTTAATATCGAAATCATTATTTTTGAAGCGTCTAAATTAATCTCTGCATATTGTTTCCGACAGAGCAGGATCGCCGTAACTCTCAACAAGAATTCTGTGTGCTCCAGCTGCAGATTTCTTTTGAAAAAATAGTGCAGTAAAATTTCCCGCAAATACACTTTCTTTGGCATGAAATCCGACATGAAAAGCAAAGTTGTTTACACTTCGGCGAAATGACATGCGCTGAATTTCAAACTTGCTTATAATAGTTCCTTATAGATGCGTTACCATCTGAAACTATACACACGCTGCTCTGGGAACGCCATCTGTTGGAAAACGGCGAGAACTTATTCAAGGTCCTAATATAAATACGTATATATTGATAAAGTAACTATCACAATAAATACATATATATTGATAAAGTAATTATAACGTAATTTTCAGGCCAGACCGCTCATAATTTTACATCATGCTGACTCAAAACTTTAGGTAAATTATGAAGGAAGCTATGTGATATAATTGTATGTATAATAAACAAAAGCGAGTAAATTTTTTGTAGCATTTTTATAGACATGGAATGAAATAATTCTTTCAGTGAAGTAGATTTTGAAAGAAAACGGCTAAATATTTTTTTTTATTTAAAATATATTATACGTAAATTAATCCTAATACATTATATCTTATAAATATTAATTAAATTATTTATTAAAAAAAACAAAAAAAAAATATATATATATATATATATATATATATATATATATATATATATATATATATATATATAAAATCAATATATATATATATAAAATATATATATATATATATATATATATATATATATATATATATATATATATATATATATTACACTAAGCTCCACACCGGGTGGAGACATTGTGTTTAATGCTTGATTGCAATCTT